ATTACACTTTTTAAAAATACATACTTATCTTTGCCTACAACAAATATGTAATTTGACAAATAAGTTCGATTTCAGAGGTTTCTTTACAAATTAACACTCTCGCTGCCACTGATATTTGTGTCATTTGACTTCCATATGTCACGAACAGTTTCAGATACTAATACTTACGTTTTATCCTGAAAGCACTTAAGAAAAACATGTTAGTTTTTATGGCACCATTTTCAATTATAGGCTAAAACTGGTACCAAACTTTGTTGCTTCTAGGCCATTAGAAACAATTATCCATAAGAAATATTAGCAGCGTGTATAGCAAGCCATACACACCGGCTAAAATATTGAGATGCCCGGTATATTGACAGCGATACACGTGGCGGCGCCGGCGAGAGTGTTAAGATCACATTCTGCAAACTTATTGCACGGAGTGTACCAACGAGGCGACGAGACACAGCGCATCATGTATCTCTTTTTCTCCGAATGCGTTCTCACTTAATTTTCTACGCAGACGGCAACATTTCCAAGTCTCTAGCTATATTTGACGAGATGTACACAACTATATCTCTTTTCGCGAATATATAACGTAAGTTCGCAATAAAACATCAATCGGAAATCTCAATTGAATTCTTCAAAAAAGTTATTTTGACTTATTATTTTAAGGTCAAGGAATATTCATAAAGTAACGGGTGCAATACTTCGATTTTGTCAAGAGTTTTAACTTTCATTATAACAAAGACCCTTTCAAGGATTTAACAATAACATACCTGATTATTAGTAAGTCTCTATCCGATCATCCACTCATTTCTGTATTGCCAACAAAAATACTAAAAAGTACAAAAGCAACGTAAAAAACATTTTCGATTACAATATTAAAAAGCTTATGGAAGAACCTGTACCTACTTATTTATTTCAGTATTTGCTGAAGGGGTGATGTATGCCAGAGCTACCATGAGACGGACCTACCAGTCGGAGCTTGGCTGAGGCGAGCTTCAGATCACCGGACAGCTACCCAGATAAAAATTGACAACACAATAAATTATTATTTTTTTAATAAAAAGACTTTAATAATTAGCCTGTTTTTTATTGTCTTTTTAATGCCGCACTAAAGACCTTACGAATGTATTATAAAGACGTCTTTAAGACGCACAGATTTCGTAACAAACGTCGTCTTTACAACGACTTTAAGATACAGTGTGGCCCAGACTCGCTTCTCTATACAGGGATTTCGTTTCCTGTTATACCAGCAAAGTTTAAATGGGGAAAGTTTTAGACGAAACTTGTGCATTCGATAGCCTAGCCGGCTTCAGATTTACTATCGGTCAATTGGTTTTGGAAATATCTGCGAAAATGTCGAATTTTGTTTTTTGTCAGAAATCGAAACGGATAATTTGACAGCTGTCAAAATGTGACATTCGGACATTTTTTAAGGCAAATAAGATAGCTTGTATTACATGTCTCAATCCTCTTCTGTTTTCAAGCAACCCGCCTCGACATTCATTTTTCTTTTGGCCGCCATATTGGATTTTTCGATTTTTGGAAAGAGTGTAAAATTTCCAGCCTAGTGGTGTCTCCCGTGCATAAAAGATTGGAGTATCGGAATATCATCACACGTAACGTTATGTATTATTTGTTTTCTAAGGAGGCCATGATTTATTTGTTAGAAAATAAAATAACGCATTTTTTTCATCTAAGGAGGTTCTGTCTTTGACGTTACATAATTCAAAGTATTAAAATTGTTTTAATAAGTCATAGGTACGTTTTCTCTCATTAAAATCATAAATCTGACAAAAAATGGTCGTTAATCCCTACTCAAATGAATAGTTTGACATGTTAGCGTTGTCCTTGCAGTCACACAGAAACGCCGATATTACCTCAGCAAGGTACTTGGGGATGTACCTTGAACAACGGCAGCCTCATGCAACCCAATATAGAAAACTTGTTAATTTAGCCTTTGACCAACCTAGAAGCGAATACAATATTGAAAATGAAAATTTCGACAAACATTTTACAAGCTGTCAACAAAATCCCTAGTGCATCAGTAAGGAGTATAGAAATCAGTGTTTCAAAATGAACAGAACAGAGAGTTCAAAGACTTGAGGAAACTGATTTTCCAAGGCGCTTCCGTGAGGGGTATACTAGGAAGTCTAATGAAAATCCCGATTTTGTAAATCATGTCTCGTGGTCCAATGAGAGAAGGTTTAAAAATTGTGGAGTTTTTAATTGGCAGAGAGACGTCTACAGACCAGATTTGGAACTAACGTTTGGTGTGTGGTCATTGGTAATTTAATCGCACTTACCTTTTTTGGACCATTTTTGTTTGAGTACAACCTAATCGGAGAAAGGTACCTAAAGCTTTTGCGAAACTAGGTTGTGCCGGCTTTATGGGCTAGTCTAACCGAAGATGAGTTTAGAAGAACCTGGTTTCAACAGGATGGATGTCCGACCCACAACACCATTCAAGTCAGGAACTTCTTACAACGGTTTGATGAAAGAATAATTTCATTAAATGACTCAATATCTTGGCCTCCTAGATCCCGTGAACTTTCAGTCTTAGATTTCTACCTCTGGGGTCACGCAAAGAATGAGATCTATGAATTTGATCCTCCCGCGACCATAGAAATCCTAATACAAAGAATTTTGAGCACAGTTAGAAACATTTAACAGAAATACATTAGCTAAGGTTGTACGAAAAAGTCACCAGTTGTCAAAAATGATTGAATACAAATGGACGTTATTTTGCACATCTGTAAATGCCCACTTACATAATTAGATATTACAGTTTTGTAAAATTACGACGATTTTTCTGACTTGTTTTTATTAACACACTCATAGTTGGGAATTTGTTCCAAAACATTTGACTTGTTGAGAAGTCGATATTAACGTTAATATTCTATTGAAAATTCAAGACGTTTATGTGTTTTCTATGCCTGAAGGCCGTCTGTCACGAAAATTTGTGCTAAATTTACTGTCAAATTTTGTGACAAAATTCGTTCCTGAATTTTAGTTCCTAGTATGCTTACAAATTACAATCTTGTTTGACACGTAAATAAATTTTTGTACGAAATGATGCGCAGTTAGTAGAAAAAAATATAATTGTCAACTTCTGACTGCCATTTATCACGTCAAAAATCAATTTCAAGCGGATAACCAAATGAAAATGGTATTTACCATTTTGGGTTGGTATTTACCGATTCGTTCAAGCGAGTGTGGTTATCAGCTTGGTTATATGATCCGTGACGTCATGAATCAGCTGTTATATGTCATAGTTATCACCGCAAAATTGTGGTATTTACCCAACTCGGGAGTAGTTTTATATTTCTGGTTATTATTTGAAATGTGACAAGTTAGAATTTTGTCGTGTATTGGATATTGTTATTGCACTTCAGCTTCATTTTTGGGAAACTTGATACAGGCTGACTTCAGTTTTACGATAAAGTGGAGCACCTTATCAGTTATACTCATTACTGTTGGGGACACTTTAAATGTAGTTCCTAAGCTTAACAAAGTATCCTGTGTAGCCATATACCACAAGAATATTAAAATATGGCCATATAAACTCACTAGATGATGTCCACCTGTATACGGTTTTGCTAATTTCTTTTTTCATCATTTCTACTGAAACAATAAATGTTTTCTTTGACATGCGGAAAACTTTAGAGAATTGGAAGTTATCATAGCTACAAAGCCATGGTTCCATCATTAAAAAAAATCTGAGAAAACATATCTCCCTTGAATATATGAAAGGTTTCTTATTTAATCTTTCCATACACAGTTGTAGACGAAAAAGCACCGATTATTAAGTGATAATAAAAATAATCAGAGATTATATACGCGTTTTTCTAAAATAAACAACTTGCAACCAAACCGTGGTTAAAACCGACGCGTTCAAGCGATTCGTGTAACTGACCTCATCAACCCGTGTCTCATTTTGAACCATATTATAACCGCGGCACATAACACAGAAATTTTTGTTATTCGCTTGGATTTGATTAAAGTCATTGTAACCACACTTCCCTTGCGGTTGCTACTTTATTCCTTTATTTTTAAACGAATAGAAAATGGAAAGATCCCGTATTTCGTATTATATGCGACTGTTGCAGCAGCGATCTGCGTTGTAGCTGCCCACCTCGAGAAAACAAAATAAACGAAAATGGATCAGGGTGAGCGACCAGGGCGTGTGTATGCCCCGTATGGTGAATAAAGAACTTCTAGTGCAGGATCCACTGGCTTATAAGCCTAATTGGTTCTTAGTCATTCTGATTTTATCCAATGCGCTTGTTTGGCTTGTCTGTTTTTATAGGCCTTGCTTTTTACAGCATAATATAAATAATCATATTTCTCATACTTTTCAGGTTTCAGGTTATATCAGCCATTGTAATGCTCCAAATGTGCAGTAGTCTTCTGTGCGCTTTTAGTATGATATTATTTAGAACAGTTTTTACAAAATTTAGCACTAAGTTTGTTCATATGAAATTGTATACTAAATGCTATCTGACACTAACCTTAATTTTGTACGAAATTTGGCACAAAATTTCGGATCGCGACAGATGGCCTTTGCTCATTGTTATTTTCTGACAAATGAATCATAGCCTCCTTAGAAAAAACTAATACATAACATTACGTGTGATGTTTAGGTGGTACTCCAATCTTTTATGCACTTGTGAGACATCACTAGACTGTAAATTTTGAGGCGGGTTGCTGGAAAACAAAAGACGATTGAGACATGTCATACAAGCTATCGTATTTTTCTTAAAAAAAATGTCCGAATAATGTAACATTTTGAGAGCTGTCAAATTAACCGTTTTGGATTTACTGGCAAAAAACAAATTCCGCCATTTTCGTTTTTTCGCTGATATTTCTCATAATTTCAAAATCAACTGATCGATCGTAAATCTGAAGGCGACTATCCAAAGCACTAAGTTTCCTCTGAAACTTTCCCCAGTAGTCTTTGGTGTAGGTATGTATAACGGAAGCCGAGATTCCTGTATAGAGAAGCGAATCTGGGACACACTGTATAGTTGTGCTATTTGTGGAGCGAACAGTTGCCTACAATTTGTATAATTAGCTTTTATAGGTTTTTAAAATATAGGAATGATCGATCGCTTACACATTAAAAACTCGCTGTGTATGTTGAAGTATCCTAGCTGAAGAGAAAGTGTTTTAGGTTCGGTTGAGGTACGTGGCAACACCGACTTTCATCTACTGGGGCAATTTACATTGGACTTTCTCCGCCGAAAAGGCGGCCGTTTTGACAGAAAAGTTTGATAGCTGTTTGTTATCTTAGCTATGGTTTTATATTCTAGGTTTGTAAATAACTTCAAAAAAAGATAGATCTCATGGCTCCCATTCTATTTAAAAAACGTTTCAAGATGTCGACCATCCGCCCTATTGAAATTTTCAACCGCCACTTTTAGGCTAAAAAAGTATATATGCAATAATTCTATCAACGTGAATTTCAGCTATTATAGCTAACTTGATTCCTGAAATCGTTCAAAAATAAGTGGGGGGGGGGGTTGAAAACCACTGTAATTAAAAAATACTCCATTGACGAGCAATCATACGAAGACGTCTGTTGCTCCATCTGCTAACCGCTCTTCATGTTCTTCCTCCTCTTCTAATTCTCTCTGGATTCTTATCCATTCGTTGCGCGTTGCTTGCTCCTCAGCTCTGAGGATCATGTCTATAACAGCAGTTCGAGCCTCTTCCTCTATGAATTTGTGCTAAAAATTGAACAAATACGTTTTTCTATAGAAGGTGTTTTTACAACATATAGCAAAAGTTCAAGGTACGATTCTTTGGATTAGTCTTAAGATTATATTTTGTCTTTTAACGATATTTGCAAAATACCGCTTTGTTTTTCCTTCACAACTTTAATTCATTAAAATTTTCACAGTATAGTAAGTACACAGCTTAGATAACAATCCGCTGTGAAACCCTCCTGACAGTGTCAAAAATGGCCGCCATTTCGGCGGAGAAGTTCGAATGTAAATTCCCCCAGTACAGAGAACAACGATGAAAGAGGTTTTACTGCTCAGCAGCAGCCGATGTTGCTTCGTGTCATGCAAGCGGCCGCAGATAGTCTTTGCAATCGTAAAAAGGTAATATTTCGATATGATACAGTGTACCGTCTGCCTCTGATCACTAAAAACTTCCGTATTTGTACTGGAGGAACTTACATTCGACTTTCTGCGCCAAAATGGTGGCCGTTTTTACACTAACACGAGAGTTTCGTAGCTGATTGTTATTTAAGCTGTGGTAAGTATATCATGGCACAACAAGATGGTGTATGTAGTTTAATCATATTGTCAAAATTTCCCCGATATTTTTCTGGATGAACTTTTTATTCGACAACAAAAATTGAGAAAACTTGTTTTTTAGGATTCAATCGAAAGTGTTGGCAGAAACGAAAAGACCATTCAAATAAGATTTTTAGGTATTTACGAGACCTACAAAATGAGGCAACATATAAAAAGATCCGACTAATAGTAAAAAAGTTATGGCCAAAAACCGGGACAAAATGCAGGTTTTGGCACTTCGTAATGCGATGATAATTTCACGCAGTTATTTGAAATTCTTCAAAACCGTAGGCTACATACTTCTAAGTAACCACAACAACGTTGGAATAAATTGGTCAAGTAGTATTCAAGAATTTCTAATGGTTTATCCCAAAACACCTGTTTTCCGGCAAACACTACTAGTTTAATGAGCAATATACTGTGTTCGTCCAAATAAATAAATATACAAGTTTACCCTGGCAATATGAATCGCAAACCATTCCGAAAGATAAATGTTACTTTTATGCAAAAAACAAAGGGTTCTTTTTGCATAAAAACAAATTCAAACATTTCGTATTTGTAACTGAACAGATGTGCTACGAAAAGCTTATGATATTATACACATTTTAAAACAAAGCCGAAGTGTCCATCACCTTTTGTTATGAAGAAAAACATTTTTTTTCAAGATTTCTTCATACTCTTGTGTATATACAGGGTGTTAATAAAGTATGTAGACAAACTTTAATTTAATTCGACCATCGAATCTTTGGACAATTTGAAGACTAAATGTTCATATGAACATGGGTCTGTAACGGCTTTCTTTTCGAGCTAGAGCACTATCACTAAAGAAATACGAGTAATGTTCCAAATATTTCTATGAATAATTCAATAGTTGATATAACCTATGATATATTTTGCATGTTTTACAAGTTGCTGAGGCTCAATATGAACGTTACTCAGAGCCATTCCGTAAACGAAATGCATACCTGTCATTTCTTGATTACTGACCTGGACCATTATGAGAATTAGTAATCACCAAAACTTAGAAATATTTGGAATCTTAGAATGACCAAACAAGAAAACAAATATTTGACAGCTGTCGAATTATTTGAGAAAATAAATTAATTCAATTGTTTTTAGGTACGTCATAGGTGTCTACATAAGCACAATGCTTAAATATTAAAAGTTTGCGATCAAAACAAATCAATGTCATGCTATGTTTTCAAAAAATATTGGATAACATTATAAGTATCTACGTACATGGAGTGTCTGAAAACAACTGTAAATCATGTGATATTTACCACAGGGCATACTTAATTAAAATAAAATACGTTCCATTCTTTTATAATTTTGTAGAACAATATCATCATTTCTTTTAGTGCTAGCTTGAAACCAAAGTCGTTGCGGACCCATGTTCATATGGAAATTTCGTCTTCAAATTGACCAACGGTTCGATGGTTAAAGTCTGTCTACATACTTTATTAACACCCTGTATATTTAGACCTGAAATTTTTACACGGTTACAGATAAGCCTTAAAGTTTATTAAAAAAAAATTATACTGAAATGCACTGCAGTGTTTATAAAGTTAGCCCGCAAACTGAAGATAATTGTTTCAATTTGTCTTAACCTAGTTAGTATGTAGCATGTGCTAAATGGGTACATTATTGATGACTGCATGACTCGAATAAGTAGGTTACGTAATCCAGTTTTTTTACGAAGAAAAATAATTCCCTGGTATTAATATAGTATACTTTTGTTTTCGAAATTTCGTACGATTAAAATTGGAAAATAAACTCGAGATAACGGAAAAACAGTAGACAAATATCAATTAATTGTATAGAACTGACCGTCTGAAAAATTAGTTAAAACGCTCCGTCCTAGACCCTAATACATTATTTAAAGTTTCAGTATTCTATCTTGTCTAGTTTTCGAGATTATTCTAATTGTTTATAACAAATTTGACGTACAGTCAACGTTCGCTTGACATTTGTCAGTGTCAAGTATAGTATAAAAATCCAGTAGACTAATACGCGTCGTCGTGTAGTGGAAAGGAGTAACGGTTGCAGGACGAACGTCCGAATCCACAAATCTCCCTTTTTTTTCTGTATTTTTCTTTTAATTTGGTGATCAAACAGCTTTTCGCATGCCGTAAACAATGTAAGCTTGCAAGCAGGAACCAGAGGTACACGTATGATTCTTTAGAAGAAAAAAATTAACGTCTATCTTTCGGAATGGTTTGTGATTCATATCGGAAAGGTAAACTCATGTATTTCGCTATAAAATGCCCGAAAATGAAATGAACGAACCCTGTATATGGCTCAATAAATTAGTGTGATAGGTATTGTAAATACCTAAAAATCTTATTTGAAGAGTTTTTTCGTTCCTGCCAACACTTTCGATTGAATCCCAAAAAAAAACACGTTTTATGCCTTCATGTTTTAAATGCCCCCTTAAACAACTTGCATCAATGAAACCAAGCTTTACAATTATTTCTCAAACCAGGGGTATTTTCGTCTACTATGGTCTACTATAGCAAACAATATTGCTAATTTATTTAACACCCTGTATAAAAATGGACCATAAGTAATGTTTTTTAAACACCATATCTTTTATCTGAAAAAGTGAAATCTTGATTTCGTTGAACCGTTTTTGAGAGAATCAGCCTTATTGCAGTACCGTTCCATCGAGTACAACGCTGTTTCCGATATACTGGGTGGCCCAACGAAAAGGTCCCACCCCTATTTGTGACTCTTCTGGTATATTTTGTGAAAAACGCTCTGACACGTCAATTTTGAATTCTAGGGGGACGTCGTTTCATCTATAGCCGTACAATACAGGGTGATCCAACAATAAGATATTGCGTTACACTTAAGATTTTTAAATGGAAACCCCCATTTTTTTTCAATTTTTAGATTTTCCATGAAGTTTTTAGTGACTTTTGTATAATAAAGTTTATACCTGTCTTCAACCGTTGTGAATCTATTTGAGTTTATAATAAAATTCGACTCAGTTAACTTAATATTAATAGTAATGGAATGCACGGCAAAATATAATAATCATGGATACCAGCAAGAATATTTAGCATCAGTCAGTGTCATCGTATGTCATAGAAAAAGTTTCTCTGTAATTTCAAATTGTTAAGTTACAACAACTAGGTAGTTGTGATAAATATTGAACAATGACTTATTCAAGAAAGGGTAGAAATAACAAAACTGTTTTACCAAAATGGGAGCATTGCTAGAGCTACTGCCCGGTTTATGTATGTTATGTAATTGTTGTAGTTTTTTAAAAGAATGTAATTGTAGCAATCCTGCTAAATAGATCTTAAACAAAAAGACATAACAGCAGACACTTTATAATAGACCATATAACTTTTTCTATACGGTCATACAAAGAAGATAGAGGAGAGATAAGTTTTTAGTGGGGCACCCTGTACTTAAAGATGTTTTAAGACACAATTATCATCGCTTTTCATTACTGAATTATTAATATCGCAAATATATGTACCCATCTTTCTCTAGCTATTCGGTCTCTCTCTTCACATAGCTGATTGATCTCGATCGTTTGTATATCGGACATCTCCTGGTTATACCGGTATTTGAACAGCCAATGACCTAGATAGTGTATCGGATCCTTTGGTTGAACAGTTGTAATCTCGGCCAGAGCTAACGTTAAAGGTATGCCCAGATTCTCTTTCAGGTAGTTTACGTCTTCTGAGGTCATTCGGCTGCTGTCTCCTGAACTTTTTGATTCGTCTGTAGATGATCATGACAGTACAGTTGAGGTAGAAAAATATTCACATTGTATTCGTAAATATCGGTCAGTATAGCATCATATTCTACAGAAATCTTACATTGAAATAATGGTAATGTTTCAAGATACTTACAAAATACTGCTGCAATATTTCTGAAAGGTATATACAGGGTGACTTCGAAGTTGAGTCATTTATTTTAACAGTGAGTGGATCTGATCAAAAGAAATGTTTTTTCCTTTAAAATTTGTCTGGTAAAATCAAAGTATAATCCGCCTTATCGGTTTATCGCATCGGAAACAAAAAAGCGAAAGAATTTGAAACGCTTATCACGATGTTTTTACTACAATTTTATTCAGTTGTATTCAATGTGTCAGTCGGTAACGCGTGAGTGAATAGTGGTGTTTGTTGCGTGAGTTATGTTGCCGTCATTTAGCACTTTATTAATTAATATAATAATTGCATTGTATTCCTTTTTACTAGCTCATCACTTTTGGTTCATATTAACGATTGTATCTTAATTATGAGTTAGTCATTCAATCTCAGTCACAGCGAACACACACACTGTAATTCCGGTTCGGTCCATGTAAACTATTGTTGGAATCAAATAAAGTTTTTTTAAAAACGAAGTTTGAAGTTCCGACTACATAATTGGCGCAGCCCGCAGTAGCATTCCCAAAGGGATTTTCGCCGATTAGCCCTTGAGTCCGAACTCTTAATTGGGAATCACGAACCTCCGTGACGAGCCGGTACGACTGAAGAAAGAAGAAAGAATTTGGACCACAAGTGCCCTTTGTCCTGTTGAAGTCGACGTCCACCTGAGGAACCTAGGCCAAGAACGGGATGAAGTACTGGACCTATCAGTAAGTGCTCATTGTATCCTTATTTTTTCATGAGTGACTCACCCCGACCTGTAAATCCTTTCGAAGGTGATAGTGCAGATCAAATCGCTAATCGCATAGCAAGCTTAGAATTAGGACGTAGAGAAATAAGACAAGCAAACGAAACTATAGAAAGAATAATGACGACCCCCAGTAGAAATAGTACCCCCCAGTTCGACATAAAATTACTCCAAATTGTCCCAGAATTTGATGGGAATCCCTGTAGACTATATAGATATTTAGAAATAAGTACAGATTTATTAAATAACTATTGGAACACTGACGATACAGTATGTGTCCAAAACAAAATACTGCTGCATGGCATTTTCTCGAAATTGACTGGTGCTGCAGAGCAAGTATTTTCTCTTAGCGGTTCCACAGACTGGCACAGCATAAAAAATTTGCTAATTGCTCATTTTGGTGATCAAAGAAACGAGAGTAGTCTTATTTCAGATATGACTGCCCTTAGACAAAATTCTAATGAAAGCTCTTTACAGTTTTATTCTAGAGTTGTAACCATGCTGAATCATTTGCATAACTATATAAATATTCATGAAACAGTTGATGCTATTAAAACAAGTAAAAAGGCACTGTATGATAGTCATGCATTGCATACACTTTTAGTAGGTTTAAAGGAGCCACAAAGTTCCATGATTCGGTCGATGAAACCTAAAAATTTGGCAGAAGCTCAAGCTTATATTTTAGAAGATAATAACATTAGATATTTACAAAAGGCTGGTGCACATTCAAATTTTAATAAGCCACCTCAGCCTGCCCTTCCATCCAAACCACATTTTCAAAATTTGTTTAAGCCTCAAATGCAGCCTATGAATCAATTTAGGCCTCAGCAAAATTTCAATTATCAGCCTCAATTCCCAAGAGGACCAGTTCCGATTCAACCTAGACAAAATCCTCTTCCACAAAAATTTCCAACAAACGCACAAGTTTTTGGCAATAATGTTTGGCGTAATCCGCCTAATCAAGGACCTTCCTACAGGCCTACTCCTATGAGTGGTGTTAGTAGCATCAATAGAAATAAGAATTTCCAAACTAATTATTTTAGGCCTTCTGGCCCAAGGAACTTTGCTTCTCAAGAATTACATAACGTTGAGAGTGATCCTTATGATCAAAATTTTGTAAACAACCCTTACGATGACTATTACTCGGAATATTGTCAGGATAGTGAAAATCAGTATGACTGTTCTGATCTATATTACGAAAACCCTGATGAGACACAAAATGATGTTTCTGAAACTGGTCAAAAGCCTGATGAAGAAAAACAAAATTTTCAGATGGCCGTGCCCATGATAGAGGAGACATAATATACTTAAACACGATTTATGACAAGACAGAATTACCTTATATTGAAATTAAAAATCCGCCTTTAAAGCTTCTTATTGATACTGGTGCAACGAAATCATTTTTAAATCCTGATCTTGCACAGTTGCATTTTCCAAAATGTATTTATAAAGAACCATTCGAAGTAACTTCAGTTTTTCAGCATTCGAAGAGAGACTATTGTGCTAAAATTCCTGCCTTCTCAGAACTCAATGTTAGTGAGCCTATAAAATTTCATTTGTTCAAATTTCACAAGTATTTTGATGGTCTGATTGGTTTAGATATTTTGAAACTTCTAAATTCGCATATTGACCTTAGAAATTCTATTTTGCATACCAAAAACGCCAAAATTCCAATCAAATTTCATGATTTGAAAAACCGTTTGTTATTTTTCATAGAAATTGAGCCCTACACGGCAGCCCAAGCCAAAATTCCTGTCGATACTTATAATGGAGAAATTTTGATTCCAAATTCCAAAATTAGAGATTGGGTAATCAAGGAAACGCTTACTCATGCTATAAACGGTTATGCCTTAGTTGACCTAGAAAATCCAAGTAACACTTATCAAGAAATTTCCTTGTATGAGCCTATTGTTTCATTTCCATTCGACGTGAACAATTACGCTTTATTCCACGCTATCATTAAACCATCTGAATCAGCTTCGCCGTCGCGACGTGATATCAGTAACCTGATACGAACATCTCATCTCAATAATGAAGAAAAAACTCATATTCAAAAATTGTGTCAAACCTACTCAGACGTATTCTATTACGAGGGCGATGCGTTAACTTTCACAAACCAAATTAAGCATCATATCAGGACCACAGATGAAATTCCTGTTCATACAAAATCGTATCGTTATCCACACATGCTCAAAAACGAAATGCAAAGCCAAATTAGATGCCTTCTAGATCAGAATATTATTCGACATAGTAGCTCAGCTTGGAATTCTCCAGTTTTTCTCATTCCCAAAAAACCTGATGCTAGTGGTAAAAAGAAATGGCGTATGGTAGTTGACTATCGAAAGGTTAACGAAAAGACCATAGATGATCGCTACCCCATTCCATGTATTTCTGACATTTTAGACAAATTAGGTCGTTGTAATTATTTCACAACTTTGGATTTAGCTAGCGGTTTCCACCAAATTGAAATAGCCCCGGAAGATATTCAAAAAACAGCGTTTAGTGTTGATGGAGGTCATTACGAATACCTTCGTATGAGTTTTGGTCTTAAAGGAGCACCAAGCACATTTCAGCGAGTTATGGATAATGTCTTGCGAGGACTAGATAACACTATGGTGTATATGGATGACATCATAATTTATTCTACTTCTTTACAAGAACACATTGTATCATTGAAAAAGGTTTTCCAAAGATTAAGGGAGACAAACCTCAAAGTTCAATTAGACAAATCCGAATTTTTGAAAAAGGAAGCAGCTTTTCTTGGTCACATTGTCACATCGCAAGGAGTAAAACCAAACCCCGACAAAATTCAAGCCATTCTCAAATATCCATTGCCTAGAACCACCCGCGAAATTAAACAGTTTTTAGGTTTGATTGGTTATTATCGTAAGTTCATTAAGGACTTCGCAAAAATCACTCGCCCTTTCACCCTATGTTTGAAAAAAGGAGCAGAAATTAAACATGACGAAAAATTTCTCAAAGCTTTTGAACATTGTAAGAATCTTTTAACAAATGAACCATTATTACAATATCCGGATTTTGAAAAGCCCTTCGTATTGACTACCGATGCAAGTAATTTTGCTGTATCAGCTATACTTTCTCAAGGCCCTGTTGGCTCTGACAAACCAATAGCTTATGCGTCTAGAACCTTAAATGATTCTGAACAAAATTACAGTGCGACAGAAAAAGAATGTTTAGCACTAGTTTATGGAACTAAGTATTTTAGACATTATCTTTTTGGACGAAAATTTAAAATTGTAACAGATTGCAAACCGCTTCAGTGGTTAATGACTTTAAAAGAACCAAATTCTAGATTACAAAGATGGCGCTTAAAATTATCCGAATTTGAGTATGAAGTTATATACAAAAAAAGGTAAAGAAAATAAAAATGCTGATGCACTTTCGCGTATTCAAATTCACGCTACCGAAATTGACCCACAACCTTCTACATCACAAATCCAAGATGAAGAAGAGTCCCCATTTATCCGATACATGAAAACCTTCAATAAAGACTTTTCCGAAAAACCTGCAGATGACCAAACGTCTATAGAAAATAATGTAGGTGATGAACAAACAGTACGCAATTTGCTAGACTTGAGTGAACGAGTTGAAAACGTAACTATTCACTCAGACGATGAAAACCCCATTCAAGAAATTAACCCTGTAGAAAAACCTATCAATGTTTTCAAGTACCAAATTTTTGTTAGAAAAGCCATTATGCCCAGAAAACTCACACTTCAAACCTTATGGGATCCGAAGAAATTCTTATACACATTGTATATTGTTAATGATGATTTAACTCCTATTATACACTTTCTGAAAGACTACGGTGTACCAAAAAGTACTTATGCATTTTATTTTGAAGATAATCATAACGACGAAATGTATAAAAATCTCGCGAACCTTGTATCTAATACATTCAAAAATTCTGCGTTCAAATTAGTCAAGTGCAGTAAAAAGCTTGAAAATATTACTGACGTTTTGAGACAAGAGGAAATCATGAGGTATAATCACGAAACCAAAACTAATCACCGAGGAATCATTGAGACAGTGAACCAAATTAAAAGAAAGTATTATTGGCCCCACATTGATGATGACGTGAA